AAAGTCAGAATTTTGAGATCAAGGTCAGAATTCTGCGAAAAAGTCAGAATTCTGAGATTAAAGTCAGAATTCTGCGAAAAAAGTCAGAATTCTGAGATTAAAGTCAAAATTCTGAGATTAAAGTCAGAATTCTGCAAAAAAAAGTCAGAATTCTCAGATTAAAGTCAAAATTTGGAGATTAAAGTCAAAATTCTGAGAAAAAAGTCAGAATTCTGAGAAAAAAGTCAGAATTCTGACTTTAAACTCAGAATTCTGACAGATAACAAACATGTTAGCATCAAGCCATAGCCATGTCTGTTTTAGAGACTAGCTCTCTTGTTTTAATGACCTTCTGCTCCTCCATTAATGAGGGGACCCCTCAGGCACGTAAAAAGTTGCCTAATTCCGTCATTTTCCACCAATGTGTCACTGGCCACCTCAAACAACTCACATCTTTGTCAGTGAAGCTGAGCGCTCCACATCTCTGCCTTTATGGTGCCCATCTACATTAAGATCCAAAATTCTGAGATTAAAGTCAAAATTCTGAGATTAAAGTCAAAATTCTGAGAAAAAAGTCAGAATTCTGAGAAAAAAGTCAGAATTCTGAGATTAAAGTCAGAATTTTGAGATCAAGGTCAGAATTCTGCGAAAAAGTCAGAATTCTGAGATTAAAGTCAGAATTCTGCGAAAAAAGTCAGAATTCTGAGATTAAAGTCAAAATTCTGAGATTAAAGTCAAAATTCTGAGATTAAAGTCAGAATTCTGCAAAAAAAGTCAGAATTCTGAGATTAAAGTCAAAATTTTGAGATTAAAGTCAAAATTCTGAGAAAAAAAGTCAGAATTCTGAGATTAAAGTCAGAATTTTGAGATCAAGGTCAGAATTCTGCGAAAAAGTCAGAATTCTGAGATTAAAGTCAGAATTCTGCGAAAAAAGTCAGAATTCTGAGATTAAAGTCAAAATTCTGAGATTAAAGTCAGAATTCTGCAAAAAAAAGTCAGAATTCTCAGATTAAAGTCAAAATTTGGAGATTAAAGTCAAAATTCTGAGAAAAAAGTCAGAATTCTGAGATTAAAGTCAGAATTTTGCGATTAAGGTCAGAATTCTGAGAAAAAAGTCAGAATTCTGAGAAAAAAGTCAGAATTCTGAGATTAAAGTCAGAATTTTGAGATCAAGGTCAGAATTCTGCGAAAAAGTCAGAATTCTGAGATTAAAGTAAGAATTCTGCGAAACAAGTCACAATTCTGCGATTAAAGTCAAAATTCTGAGATTAAAGTCAAAATTCTGAGATTAAAGTCAGAATTCTGCAAAAAAAGTCAGAATTCTCAGATTAAAGTCAAAATTTTGAGATTAAAGTCAAAATTCTGAGAAAAAAGTCAGAATTCTGAGATTAAAGTCAGAATTTTGAGATTAAGGTCAGAATTCTGAGAAAAAAGTCAGAATTCTGAGAAAAAAGTCAGAATTCTGAGATTAAAGTCAGAATTTTGAGATTAAGGTCAGAATTCTGAGAAAAAAAGTCAGAATTCTGAGAAAAAAAGTCAGAATTCTGAGAAAAAAGTCAGAATTCTGAGATTAAAGTCAGAATTCTGCGAAAAAATTCAGAATTCTGAGATTAAAGTCAGAATTCTGCAAAAAAAGTCAGAATTCTCAGATTAAAGTCAAAATTTTGAGATTAAAGTCAAAATTCTGAGAAAAAAGTCAGAATTCTGAGATTAAAGTCAGAATTTTGAGATTAAAGGAATAGTACACCCAAAACATGATTAGCCTTCATTTTCTACTCACCTCCATGCTGAACAACACTCTGGAGTACTTTTTTGATATCTCAAATGCATCTGGAGATCTGGGAGGCTTCTTGCTGTCTGCTGACATTCAAATAATGGAGGTCCATGGCGCCCGAGACAGAAAGGTCCATAAAAGTCCACAAAAACGTGTCAATATTCCTCCATACTGCTCGTCCAATGTAATCCAAGTGTCCTGAGTGGGAAGCATCCAGAATTTACTCGAAACGAAGTCATTTAGAATGTTTTTAGAGCATAAACAGTAGTGTATAGGATTTCCTAATAGCGCCCCCATGCACGCTCACGATTCTACGGAAGCCGGCAGACCAAACCGGAAGGAAGTGCGCATTCAGCGTCTGGTCTGCCGATAATGCAAGCGTAGAAGAAGAAATGTGCTGTTTACCTGTGCAAAGAAAGAAACAACGAAAGAAAAATGTCTGAGGACTTCAGTGTTGAGGAAGAGCATGAGTTCTTTGCCGAGCTGAATGCGCTGGTTTGGTCTGCCGGCTTCCGTAGAATCGTGAGCGCGCATGGGGGCGCTATTAGGAAATCCTATACACTACTGTTTAGGCTCTAAAACGTTCTAAATGACTTCGTTTCGAGTAAATTCTGGATGCTACCCACTCAGGACACTTGGATTACATTGGACGAGCAGTATGGAGGAATATTGACAAGTTTTTGTGGACTTTTGTGGACCTTTCTGTCTCGGGCGCCATAGACCTCCATTATTTGAATGTCAGCAGACAGCAAGAAGTCTCCCAGATCTCCAGATGCATTTGAGATATCAAAAAAGTACTCCAGAGTGTTGTTCAGCATGGAGGTGAGTAGAAAATGAAGGCTAATCATGTTTTGGGTGTACTATTCCTTTAAGGTCAGAATTCTGAGAAAAAAGTCAGAATTCTGAGAAAAAAGTCAGAATTCTGAGAAAAAAGTCAGAATTCTGAGATTAAAGTCAAAATTCTAAGATTAAAGTAAAAATTCTGAGAAAAAAGTCAGAATTCTGAGATTAAAGTCAGAATTTTGAGATCAAGGTCAGAATTCTGCGAAAAAGTCAGAATTCTGAGATTAAAGTCAGAATTCTGCGAAAAAAGTCAGAATTCTGAGATTAAAGTCAAAATTCTGAGATTAAAGTCAGAATTCTGAGATGAGAGTCAGAATTCTGCGAAAAAAGTCAGAATTCTCAGATTAAAGTCAGAATTCTGAGATTTAAGTCAGAATTCTGTGAAAAAAGTTGGAATTCTGAGATTAAAGTCAGAATTCTGAGAAAAAAGTCAGAATTCTGAGATTAAAGTCAAAATTCTGAGATTAAAGTCAGAATTCTGAGATGAGAGTCAGAATTCTGAGAAAAAAAGTCAGAATTCTGAGATTAAAGTCAGAATTTCGAGATTAAAGTCAGAATTCTGAGATTAAAGTCAGAATTTCGAGATTAAAGTCAGAATAAGGTCCAACACTAAATTGAAATAAAATTTTAAAATCAGTAAACTTTTTCTTTTTTTGTTCAGTGGCCCTAATCCTCTTCCATACAAATGACATGTTTGGCAATGCAGATATCAACACCCATAAAAGTCTGAGATGCATGCTTGAGAAGAAGACGGACACTTCCTTGCAGCAGTGCTGCATGTGCACACAGTGTGCACTGCAAGCTGCTGTGCTGATGCTTTGCTGTGGTTTTATGAGCTCCCAGCTAGTTTCACTTGCTAAATCTGCCTCTCTAGTTTATAACAGTCTAAAACAAAAGAGCCTGGCCTAAAAAAGCCCATTGGCGGTATCAGCCGACCTCCAACTTTCAGTAAAAATGAGCTGACGCTAGGATTTGGTTGTGGTTGTTACCCTTTCCAACTCGCCTCATCCATAAATAGAACTGATCACCAATTCAAAATGTGATTGGTTGGTTGGTTTGTTTGACTGTTAATTGGAAATCAGTATTTAATAAACAGACCTTTCAAAAAAAAAAAAAAAAAAAACAAACATTCATCTGCTGACATCCCACAAAGCAACTGATCAGTGTTTTCTTTGTTTTTTACCTCTTATGTTGTCATGTTTTTAGCATTTCTTTGCATCATTGGTTATCTGTTCTGCTGCAGCAAAACATTTCAGATGTAATTGAGAGTGCCGTTTGCATTTCTGGACAATCTGGCACCAATAAAACACATGGAAGGGATTGTTAAAGAGGATCGAATCAGGCTGGAGCGAGCAGATTTGTTTAAAAGATCTGCAGCCTTCATTTTGAACAAAGTTTCCAAAAAAGTGTGCTTGGTGCTTTCTACTAGTTAGCCTTTGCACACATGCACCTGCAACACAGCTTTCTGAATCATCCCCAGACAAAAGGGAAATGTATGATAAAGAAAATAAAATCCCATTGTTCGACTATCCAAAAGACAGCTGTTCAAATCAGATGAACTATGAATTCACCCTGCATGCAGAATTACTCCAGTGGCCAATTATGCAAATAAATAAGGTGATACAGAGTATTGGATTGGATTGCATTGGGGTTGAATATGCTCACCTAAAAAATAAATAAATCAAACTGAAATATAAACAGATAAAAGACATCAGCAAAATTTTGCAGGTGACGTGAATAAGCATGAATCTGTTGCAACCCAACAATGTCTGAAAGCATGTTGAAATATGTTAAGTTACTCATCCTTCATATTTGCCAAAGCTGGCTGATCTTGTCTTTCCTTTGACGTCATCAGCTTAAGTAATATTGCAAATCTTGCAGGGTTTTTTTAAAATATAATTTCTGTTTAGTGCACTTTTTAAGCATATTTTTATTAAATCCTGCATGGTATAATCATACCTCATTGATTGCATTGCCACTAAATATTAAAACTCAAAGAAAATCCAGCATCAATATGCAGACCTCCCTCATTTTGAACTGGTCCATGAATGAATGCAGGTAAAAAAAAGCTGACCAAACATAGGATCACCCAGATGATCAGTAAGAACAGCTACAGTAACATGTTGTGACACATGCTGGGCTGCATGCAGGGGCCTCTTCGCGGCAGGAAGTCAGAGAAAGTGGCAGAAGTTTGAAGGAGGATGTTCACAAAAGCCTCTTCAGATCAGAAAATAACACAAAAACTGCCTTTTTTCTTCACTTCAGGACGTTTAGGGAAACATTGCAGCGTGAAATCAAATTTAAATCAAGTCTAAAATCTTTTTAAACCCCCCCTATGAACTATAACTTGTCAGGACGTTTGTTAAAACTGGAATGCAGATTAATTTGTTGGTGTGACACTTACCTCACCTGTTTGCAGGTAAAACTAAATAATCTGAAGCCTGTCAGAGGATTCAGCTATTTCTCAGCGTCCTTGTTCATTTGAAAACAGCAAATTAAGTCCTTTTCCACGTCCGGTTAAAAATCTCCTCCTCCGAAAATACAGCTCAGATGTTTGATGAACATTAAATGCAGCAGAAGTGATCGGAAAAAATTCAGCGGTGTAGAATAAAAGCAAACGGGAAGGTAGATGGTGCGACTCCTGTCAACATTACTTGGATGGTTTTTTTTCTGCAGCTCCAATCCTCTTCCTTTAAATTAAATGTTACATTAAAACAGCAGCACTAACTAAACAGGCAGCGGTTAGGCAAAAAGAGAAGCAGACTAAATTTAGTTTACTTTCAGGCGGTGTTGCTCATTTTCCCCGTCACAAACATTCAAGTTTTTTTTTGCCCCACCTTTGGTTTTACTGCGCGCATGCGCACTTGCGTCACATCCGGATCAATGGCAGTGAACTTTTCATTTCAGTCCTGTGCAGACCAAAAAAAAATAAATAAATCCACCGCTTTCTTAACAGATCAAACTCGGTTTCCTTTTTTTTTTTTCTCGTGGAAAAACAAACAAAAGAGTATCACTGATAACCTGAAGCTGCTACTGCAGCAGAATCAAGAGGAAGCATCAAAAATGTTTCAATTTATTGCCTCCTGGTGGTCAATAAACAAACATCTTTTGACTCACATTCAGTAACACTGGCTTGACTCTCGAAGCCAGGCTTGTCTCAACAGATGTGAAATAATTACACATCAGGCAAGAGGAATGTTGGAGAAAAGAGAGCAGTTGTGCACAGCTGTAGCTTTCAACGAACATGCACGTCAATCCGGAGAAAGTTGCTGATTCAGTGACAAAGTTCGCTTTACAGATGTTGGGAGTTTGACCTTACAAAGCAAAAACACCAACATCTACCAGAGTGTGAGGATTTGCTTCACCTGGAATGAACTGATCTTAAATTAAAGGGCCGATATAAGCGTAAAGTCGACCTACAACAGATTAGTAAATTTAGTCTGGACTCGTTTAACATGTAAATACATTTAAAAAACAGCAGCTTTCATCATCATGCATCCGTGGAAAGAGATGCGTGGAGCTCAGAAGATGGCACATAAGCAGCAGCTCTTATGGCCTTAATGTTCACAGTCTATGCTTCATGGAGCATTGGAAATATCAAATTAACACCATCAAATTATACAGCATAACTAAATATATTTTTAAAGGGGGCAGATGCTTTACATTTTAATATGACCCAATATTATTGGTTAATAAACGCTATTCTCTAGTCATCAAAGGTTAGAATTAGACTGTTTTCTCAGAGATCAACAAGCTGTGATCACTGCACAACTTTTTTTAATGTAAAGATGAACCATTTTCCTCCATGATGAATGAATCCTAAATTCCCAATAAGGCCGTTTGTGCAGAATCAAATTAGCAGAGTAAATCAGCCCAGTTTACCTTTTTCACTGGGAAAACCCAGCAGATGACCCGTTCAAAGAAATAGTACAAAAATATATTTTCTTGGGCTTCATTCACCAGGCTTGTTTTTGCAGAAGAAGATGTCCTACATATATGGTAAAGTTTTACACAAAGCCGTATTTATAGAGACCGTGTGAGATCTGCATGCACTTTGCCGTAAGGCTTGAACTTTAACGCTGCTGCACGCAAACTGGGGGTCGAAAAAAAACGGTAACTTTCTTTGCAGAAGAGGAACTCTGTTACAGCCAGAACGACAAAAAGAAGAAAAGTGGATTCTGCCAGTTGCCAAACTTGTAGCTATGGAAGCTAAATTTAAGCTAAATATCAGCTTATCTGTACAAAAATACAGCATTGAAGTTACACCAACAAACCTGCTTTCATGGCTCTATAGCATTCAGTGTCTTTTCTATTTATGCTGTCCGAGATAAAGAAACGGTCAAGCAGCACATGAAAGACATATGAGGCTTCCTGCAGACACGTCCTGCCTAATTTAGAGCAGAAAGGCTTTTCTGTTTACATTGTGATGGATTTAATGGCCTGCATTTATATTTTTCCTGTTCAAAGTCCTTTTTCCAAAAGTACGATTCAAACTTTTGAATACAAAGAGCAAAGACTTGAAAGCTTATCTCTCCTGTATCTGCACGCTTTAGCATCTGTATGACTGAAGAACAGTTGTCCTTCCGTATGACGAACCAGGATGAATCAGAGCCTGCTTGGGTGACCTGGAAGAAACAGCTGAGACTCGTGGAATATAAGGCTCCAAAACCCAAAAGGTCAAGGTAGGTGAAAGGTTTAATCAGTCCCGTTAAGCGGAGTGCAAGGGGATGACAAATTTGCAACCAAAGGGAGAACGGTACTTGATTCCCACTTCCTGGAACACCTGCAGAGGGACGCCTATGTCGCACAGGTAAACTCTGCCGGCTCCTTCCGCCAATGGAAGCGGGAGGCAAAGCGACAGAGACCACTTGGCCTCGACCGCGTGACCCTGCCCGCTCACAGGAGGATCCAAGCTAAGCACCGGTGCTCTGTTCTGATTGGCCCAGTCTGCAGCCACCCGGTACCACGGCTGATCCATCAGGAACGGGTTCTCATGGCAGTCCAGGCAGTTTATGATGAGATCAACCGGGGTGTCGGGAAGATCTATAGAAATAAAATACAGAACATTACATCATGACACGCCGACTGATTTTCTGACAACCAAATCTAAACCGAGTTAAAGCAAAGCCCACCTTTGATGCTGGACACCTGTTTGCCACTGGTCTTGTTGAAGAGCGTCAACTCGCTCGTCACAGAATCGAGCATCTTGACAAAGTTCGGCAGAAAGAGGATGACCTCCACTTCGTGGTTGGCCAGGTGACGACCGCAGCTGATGCCCTGCGCGCCCTGAACATGGGGTCCACACAGCAGCGCCACGGTAGGGCGCTGATGTAAATTTTTGGGTGTAAATCTGAAAGATATAAACAATAAATAAAAAATGAAATCATTGAGGAAGTTCTTAGAATCCTTTCCCTTCATGATTACATACTTTTCCAGATTTCCCAGGCAATCATGTACAAAATTACCTAATTGGATTTTATTACATTACGTTCATAAAGAAACATCATTATTTTTGACGTCTGGTTTCTGATTTAGCACACATATAAAGAGGATTATTTCTTAATTGGCAGCCTATAGCAGCTGAGCTTCAAAATTCATAGATTTGTTACATCTAGACAAAATTATTCTACATAAAGATTGATGACTTCTAAATATATTTAACATATTATTTAGTTTTATCAAAGTTTAAAAGATATATAAAGCTGATGTCTATACCAGAGTCAGTTTTAAAAAGTCCAAAACTTTTATTTTATAAGTGCTAGAAGCTAAAAAAAAAAAACATTTATATAAGATAAAGATGTTCATAGTTTGGACAAAGAAGACGAGTGGTTTGAAAGGGGTGTGAAGGAAGCCATTTATTCATTAAAGGGGAATGCCGTTTTGTTTTTTCCGTTAGGTTATATCCAAGTAACATCTTCCTATGGGCAACGAGTTGAAGGCACAAACTGAACTGTTCATTTATTCTTTATGGTACGCCAGCATTCAGAACATGGAGGCCAATCACTGTCCGCCAGACATCCGCCGTTATATTTTTATATTTATATGTCCTCACAGTTTGTGCCTTCAAGTCGGAATATCTTCAGAATGGCTCCAAATCACACAAAACTCATATGGGTGAGTAGAACATGATGTAATAACGTAAAATCAAGGGACCAATGTAAAAAAAAACGGCGTTCCTCTTTAAACAGAGGGTGTGGAATCAGGTTTCAGCTCTCAAAAACCTACAGCGCAGTGATAGATTTGATTCCTTCCCGTTATCATAATCCTCATCGCCATGTAGGGGACAAAGACAACTCATCTGGTCAGCTAGACCAACAATTCCCCCGAATGACCCGCTTTCAGAGGCATAGGCATGTATCGGGTATTGCAGGCTAACAAGCCCCTCAACAACCCCATATTACTAAAAGGTGGACCTGTTCTTCCGGTTCTATTTGCATGATTTCTAAGCCAAAACAAGGCTTTGTTGGGCTGCTCTATAAAGCTTAGAACTAAACGCTAATTTAAGACATTTTGACTTGAAAAAGCTTCCTGGATGGGAAGCAAAACGTCTTCAAACTTGGAAAAAAAGTCTGTTTTTTCTTACTTTCTTTAGAAAGATAAACAAGCCTTTATCTGTGGCTTCCCTCATTAAACCAAAACAGGGACTGTGTCCAAATACCAACCATAATAAATGCATAAAAATGCATATTGATATTACAGCTTTCATTGATTTATTTTACATTTGAAACATTGTCTAGCCTGTAAGGTAAAAAAAAAAATACAAAAAAAAAAAATCGAATAATATTGTGATATATTCTTGAGTATCATAAATAATCAAATCGTTCGGTCAGGAAATTTATACTGAATCGAATCGCCATGATGGGTGTGATTTACACCCCTATTAATCCCTATATAGTTCACTATATAGAGGTTACGCCAATTCAGATGAGTGTCTGAACATTTTTTATGTCTAAATTCTAAATTGCCCACAATGCACCTTGAAAATTAGTGATCAATGATAGTCACTAGACGAGGAGATATGTCGCAGATTGCTTTGCGATGGCTCTCCTTGCAAAGATTCGTTGTGACAGCGGCCCACGATCAGATAGAGACAGCAGTGACAAATAGCAAAGATGACGCAGGCACAGTGCGGGGGGGACAGAATTAAGTGACCAATGGGGAGCTAAAAGTAGTGATCATCTATCCGAGCAGTCGGTTATCCAAGTTCACCATAAACTCCACTATATAGTCCCTGCTCTATATAGTGATGGAGGGATTTAGGGGTTTGAGCGCCATTTCTGACATTTTGAATCAAAAATGCTTCCTGGAAGGGGAAGCAAAACATCTTCAAACTTGGAAACAAATTCCAGTGGATTGTTGTTTTTTCCCCATTTTTTTTTAAATGACTATGATCTGGATGACTGAGGTTCTTCACCAGCTTAATCACTAAAGGTTAACTCCTCCTGGCCCGTAAGTGACACAAATAAAAGGTTAATGTTCATATATTTTAGAACTGTCAACATTTATAAAACAATTATTTATATAGTGTATTTTCCTTGGTAAAATTAATACTTTTCATCATTATGATGAAAAAGTTGTAGCAATGACCTTTAAGTCATTCCTGGTTTAGAAATCCATATTTTCTAACTTTGAGATTAGAGAAATTTTTCATACTCAATCAAACTCAAATACTTAATTTACAATACATTTTCTTTTTTGTCATTCTTTTGACAAAAAAGACAAGCAAAAAAGAAAGAAGCAGAAGCTTTTCAACCTGTAAAACCAAAAAGCACTATGGACTGTTCTTCATACCTCCAATCCAATTATTTTAGATTCCAAATTAAAGTGAAACATAGTATTATCTGCTTCCTCAAGACGAATATTCGTACCTGTTGGGTCCTCCTAACAACGTAAGCGTCATCTGGCTAGCACACACTCCAGTCATCTCAAGTCTCCGCTCCAGCGTCAGACCGTAGCGCTCAGCAGCAGACAAAAGACGCTTGTGAAGCTCATAGGAAATACTCGGAACAACAAGTCCAGAGTCTGCATGACATAAAGAAAAGCAAGTATAAACTACTGTAGCTCAATTTAACATCAAACGCTGGCAATGTGGTCATCGCAATGCTACACTTACCAGTGCAGTATTCTTTGGGTCCAGGCTGTGGCACCACAATCTGTCTGTAAACAATAGGTTTGCCCTCCAGGATATTTTCATCATGGCGGTACCGCGTGGGCGTCTGATCCTGAGGCGTGCCACGTGACCTTGCACCGTTACGTCGCTCGGTCGTGTCGATCTCTGAGAAAACTGCAGCTTTGTCAAACAATGCCAGGTTTCCTTCAAAGTCAAAGTCTGTATCAAGCCCATCAGCCATGCCGTCGCCAAAGCACTCGTCGTCTCTATTTTTCATCTGCCCGTTCTTTACCCCATTCTTTTTTGGCGTTGCTTGGTTTGGCCCTCGACTGGTAGATGACCCTGACAGTGATATAAAAACACCAATCAGCATCACAAAACAACAATCCTCAGAAAAAAATGCCCTTCAGCCAAATGAATAAAAACTTACAAGAGTTATGTCTTCGCCGAAAGCCTTTGGGTTGACCTAGTGCATCCAGATGACGTTCTCCATAACTTTTAGAGCACTGCTGGGGAGAGTTCATCTCCACAGATCTGGGATCCCCTTTTGGGACTGCAACTGGTACAGTGCTTCCCTTTGCAACTGTACTGGAGGTGGTCCTGGTATTCCCATTTCTGATGTCTAGAATCTTTAGCTCCTTTATATCAATGGCACTGTAAGAAAAAAAGCAAAGGAGCTCTTGAGTAACAAGCAAAAACACAACCAACTGATTTTAAACAGGAACTAGGAAGAAATCTTAAAGTTGTAGGGAAATGGCTGTTCCAACGGTTGCAGTTCCGAATTCTTCCGAGTGGTGCCCAGTGAATAAAGTCAATGTGATTGGTCGATTATCAAAGGGGTGGTATTCTTGTGGAGGATGGTTCACAAGCTTTTTGGTTGTAGCAACGTAGTGCTACTTGGTCCCAATGGGAAATTCCATTGGGACCAAGTAGCACTAAATTGGTGACTTAGAAACGACGCTGTCAAGGAACGCTATGGACAGCGGAAACATGCAAGAGGAGGAGAGTTTAGTGTCGGAGGTCGTGGATGAGTCTCCTCCGTCATCCATTTTTTATTTAGAGGAGGAAAGCGGGGACGAAGATGTTGTGGAAGAGGACGCCAGGGCAGCAGAAGCTTGGTTTGGTGTAGAAGGCTTCCAGCCGTACATGTTTGAGCCCTTGCCTCGCAACGCTGCCAGTTCTGTTAGCTCTACGCCTGCAGAAGACACAGACGTCCATCCCCGTGAACACTGGGACGCAACTCAATGGGAAAGGATTCTGATTTCAACCGTTGCGTATATTAGCTGCAAAATATGAATCAAGATGCTATGACCAAAAAAATTTGATTGACAGATGACCGTTGATATATGATTGGCCGAATTTAGGTGTTCAGGCTGACGTAGAACTAACTGGCCTGCAGAAGATAATAGGGCTGGGCGATAATTCAATAACGATATATATCGATCGATAAACGTGTGGCGCAATAGAAAAAAAGAGGGTCGAAAAAAGTTCGATAAAAAAGAAACGCAGTTTTCCCTTCCTTCTCATTGTAGCCTAGCATGTAGGTTTATGCTAGTCACTGCTTCCTCCCAAACTATCACAATCGCGGACCCAGGCACGCCGTCACCAAGCGCCGCCCTCTCAAACCACAACACAGAGCACATGAAGATGTCGCAGCAAGGAGAGGCGGAGGAAACTGTTTCAAAGAAAGGTTTTTTGTAGTTCGGCAGTCTGGCAGTATTTCGGTCATGGCAAGTCGGACCAAAAACAAACCACAGTCATCTGGAAAATGTGTCGGGAACCAGTGAAAACCAGTCTGATAACACAACCAACTTTTTTTTTTTTTTTTTTTCATCTCGGCCGCTCACACCCGCTGGAGTACGAGCTGTGTAATCCCCGACGCGGCTCTCCTCCGAGGAATCTTCGGGAATTTCGGGAAAATATATATATATTTTCAGTTCTTGGCAGTTTCCCACGTAGTTCTAACAATTGAGATAAAAATGCTGAGGGGCCAGAAACTTCAAAGTAATAACTCAGGTTAAAGCAGGAAACGGGGGCGGCGGTGGGGGGGCATTTATTTATTTGTTATTTTTATTTTGGTCACTTTTCTGGTCACTTTAGTTTATTCTTTGTCAGTATTTAATAACATAACTCAGGTCTCTTAAGTTATTTTTCTTTAAAACAATTCTGTTGTGGTTAAAAAAGTTGGTTAAATAAAGATTTAATTCAAAGTCTCTGTTTGTGTTTTTTATTTAAATTAAATTATTTAGCAATATTATAAAAAGTCCAGGCAGAGCTGCACATAAAATATGGTTTCAAATCTTTTCAGTAATTATCGATATCGATCAATATGCATTTTCTTTTATCGATAAGCTTTTTTTCTATATCGCCCAGCCCTAGAAGATAACAAAAAAACTGTTTTTAAGACAGGATTTTTTATTTTTTTAAATAGAAATTTTCCACATTTTGGGACAATATATTCTAGTAAAGAGTATATTTATATACACGTTCAAGCCAGAATGATTTGACATTTAAATATGATTTCCCTACGGATTTAAAGGGCATCTAAATGTAATCATAATGATATTACATCCTTATTCCAACAGATGGTGCTTTAGTACAGGAATTAGTAAACAAAGCACTGAGAACTTAGAACAAAGAATAAAACTGTGCTGCATTTCAGTGATAAAAGAAAAATATAATAATGCAATAATGGTGAACACTGCAAAAGTTTAAACCAGAAATGCAGATTTGCGACTGAATCGGACAGAAGTTGACACTTTAACCCCTTAAATGTTACTATTTTTCACTTTTATTTTATTTTTTTTAGGGGGGGGGGGGGGGGGTCGTTAAAAGCTGGACAACGAGATTAAATGCTAAAATAAATAAATAACAGTTAAGAAAATGGAAAAAGACAAAGAGATTCCTTTAATTTCGATCGTGTGCATCAGGGGTTGATGAAAAAAAAGCCATGTGGGAAAAGTTACAGCTTAAAGAAAACCAATGAATTTTACCTGAATGTGACCTCAGGAACGGGACACTTGACTCCGTTGTGAAAAGGTTGCCTTAAAGAAATGGTCTGGCTGGACTGATCCACAGATGACACCTCTCCTTGATAAACTCCCAACGTTGGTCCACAGTTAAGAGACACCAAACTACCTAACCAGTCAGAGGCCATTATCTGAAACACATAGATTTGAATTAAAAACACACAGTTAAATATTTACAACAGAAACCTCAGAATTTATTAAATAAGTTTTTTTTTCAACTCGTAGGAATACCGAACTATCCACTCGTTGAAGCTAAATTTTAGCATTAGCTACGGCCTAGTAACAAGCTAGGTCATTCTACAGCTCATTCCGGTTATAAAACACAAACTTTAAAGACAAGGTCTCATACCCTTTGAATGTTAAATCAAGCTGGACTTCTTAGGACAGCACAGTGTAATAAGTTATACATATAAAGGCGAAGAATATAGCTCTTTAAATGTAGCCTCTCTGTTTTTAAACGGCTGTTGCTGCTAGTTTCCTGTTTCCGGGAAAATGTGGCTTTTCAAAATAAGACGCGTAAAAAAAATTTCTCCTTGGCAACAGAATCACTTTAAGATTTTAACTTTTTTTTGTTTTGTTTATTTTTTTACTGTATGATGCTTTTCTCAGATAATTTTTTGATGTTAACAACAAATTGGATTATATCAGATTACTTATTTTAGAATGACATTACAGACAAATACATTTTGATTTGGTTCCCTGTTTATTTCTTAATTATTTTTTTATTGGTTATTCCTACCTCTAACAGCGGGATTACTAATAGGTTATCAAAACACCACAGGTTTTTTTTAAAAAGAGGAGCTGTGCTTTTACATACTAGCCTACTAACATGACCAAAAACAACTTTGTTTTAGTCACAAGGATGCAACATTTCACATTAACCTGGAGAATATTGACATCCTTAGAGACAGTTCATCACAATCCTTATCCGTAATATTTAAAAACAAATGTCCTAAATGAAGATTTTATATAAAGAGCTTCTTTCCTTGGTGCTTACAGCAGTCATTTAGTGTAGAAAGTATTTAATCTAAAAAAAAATAATAATTATTGATGTTTCAGAAATATACTACGGGGCAATCACACTCTCATACAGCTTGCTTTTGTGTACTGAGGTCACCATGGGTACTCTGGAAGGGTGTTACAAGGAAGCTGGTGTCAAAGTTGTGCGTAGGTCAGAAATAGAAAAGTTTCAGCCATGACACTGAACAGGAGAGAATTTCTCAATGTCCTGTTCATTAAAATCCAAAGTTTTCTTTAACCAAATTGTATTTTCTTTTAGAATTACATATGCTTTGAGAGGGCTGCTTAGTGGGTAGCACTGCTGCCTTGCAGCAAGAAGGTTTAAGATCTGATTCTGGGCCTGGGGTCTGTCATGTTCTCCCTGTGCATGCGTGGATACTCTCCGGGTACTCCGGCACAGTCCAAAATAGGTTAACTCTAAATTCTCCTTGGGTGTGAGTGTTTGTGTGAATGGTTGTTTGTCTTTGTTTTGCCCTGCGATGGACTGGCGACCTGTCCACCTGTTCAGGGTGGACCCTGCCTCTCGCACAAGACACCTGGAGATAAACACCAGCCTATAAGCAGGATGGCGTGATTGGAAAATGGATGGATGGAAGTTATGCATTGATAAAAACCTAGTATGTTTAGAAAGTCCTGTAGGGGGTGAGCATGTGTTTCCTATCACGTAAACATGGAAATATCTGGAGACATGACTCAATAATAGTTACTCACATCGAGATAACAGCTTTGTGTGAAAGCATGTCGCATAAATATAGGCAGGAGTGGTGATCTGTTCCTTCCTCACATATGGGACTGACAACACGGACCTTGGGAGATGCTGCAGGATGTTTTGTCATTAATATCTTCCATCAATATGAATTTTTCTCTCATGGATCTAGACATGTTGGACTCCAGATCTGACTTCGCAACCCAGGTTAGGACTGTTTAGGAATATTTTTCCTTTATATTTTGGCCAAAAGAAAACGTTTTAAAAGCAATCATTTTATTTTTGTACTTTTTAGTCTTCAGCATGGTGTGGTTTGGAAAGTGTCTCTGGATCAGGGTCTCTGTACAAATCCAGCTCAAGGTAACTGAACAACTCTTATGGTTTTAAAGAGATAGGAGTCACAACATGCAACCTGATGAAGAGGTTTAAAGCCTGAAAAATAAATAAATGTGACTTTATAGCAGTCACCTGGTCTAACAATAAAACCTATAGATAAAGAATACATTATTGAAGGTGCTAACATTACTGCAATGCAGTTGTATTATAATCGTCATGCAACACTGAGTTTGTTACCCTGAACATTTCTTATAAAATAAATGTAAAAGAAGATTTTTTTTTGTCACAAACAAAGAGTGTTGAGTGACATTTAGTTTCTCTTCCTATTGTTGAAGTATAAATATAAATACATGAGATGAAGGCACTTTTCTCTTTGGTTTTCTTTCAGATAGAAAGATATTTGTCAATCTTTATAAAACATAAAGCAACCTATACATAAACTTGCCATATTCTACAACCAGAGCTATATTTAGAAGCATGAAGAAATATTTCAAAAAAAATAAAAATCACTCAACTACTGGCCCACTTATGATTTCCTTTTAAGGTTGTGATCAAGCTGGTTTATTTTTTTCTCTACCTGCTTTTATCATGTCTTTTTACTTCCTTTTATTCTGCTTTTTTGTGGTCAAATAGTTTTGTTTTAAAAATGTATTTGTTTTTATTCTGCTTTTATTTTTCTTCTATTTTATTATTTAATTGAAGTAAGCACTTTGAATTGTCTTTGTACTGAATTGTGATATGCAAATAAACTTGCCTCACCTTCTTCCTCAATGTGAAACTACCATCATACATGTGCAGGTATGTTTTTTCCGCGCTTTTTTGGATCATCGGGTCTAAATAACCCAATCATCTACTAGCAGGTTATTTTATAAACTCTGCTGGGAATTTAACTGGAGCCAAATACATCAGTCAGGATATACCTCGATAAAGGTTAGTCAGCATCACACATCTGTCCTAAGATGAAAGAGGGATAAGTAAAAAAAAAACAAAGAATATATTCAGTGACAGACTGCTGCACCCTAAATGCACCAGTGAGCGTTATCACAGATCCTTCCTCCCAGCAGCGGGAAGACTCTAGAACCACCACTGTTCCCAACAACATCAATAAGTTTTTCCATTCATGCTGATTTTGCAGTTTTTACCTTAGTCAGTTTTTAACATCCTGCTTTAATTTTTGCACATATCTGTTGTTGCTGCTTTTTTCAAATATCCATTACTGTAAAAATGTCCACAACTGTTTAATGAATTATTTGTTCTCCAGATACACAGTATTTATATTGTAAAACATTCAGAGATGGGAAGTAACGAAGTACAAATACTTCGTTACTGTACTCAAGTAGATTTTTCTGATATTTTTACTTTACTTTACTACTTATTTTGATGGCGACTTTTTACTTCTACTCCTAACATTTTTACACAAATATCTGTACTTTCTACTCCTTACATTTAAAAAAAAATTGGCTCTTTACTTTAGTTTTGAATCATTTCAATGGAGTTACCGTTATTATTTTTCACGTCATCAATACCAAATTCAATCTAATTGGACGGGAATCTACGTTGCATTTGACGCACCACTACAAGATGAATCGACAGATTCGGCGGTATTCATTGGCGGCAAATCATTGCAGCTTGGTGGCGGTGGCGTTAGCATAGTAGCATGGACGACGAGATGATTGAAAATGAACACAACGGAGATCTAGCCTATTGGCAGACATCCATTTAAAATGTAGGCAACGGCATGAAAAAAGTGGTTTCTACTTTTACTTTTATACTTTAAGTAAATTTACAAGCCTGTACTTTGTTACTTTTACTTGAGTAAAGAAGTTTAATCAGTACTTCCACTTTTACCAGAGTATTTTTTAACACAAGTATCTGTACTTTTACTCAAGTACAGAAAGTGAGTACTTTTGCCATCTCTGAAAACATTATACAGTACTGTACATTTTTTGTTTATTTTCTTAACTCTGTCAGCTTTTTCTGTTATTTTTATTCACTTTTCTAAGGTCCACATTCTGCTGAATGTGAAGTGACCACTTCTGCTATAACCTTTTGCTGCTGCTGTAACACCACAATTTACCCATTATAGGACAAGAAAGGGATTTTCTATTCTATTCTCCCTCTTTCCCTCTCTCCATATATATATATATATATATGAGTTCTTAGTTCGTGCCCCACTCCCACAGACTTAACCCCACGCTCCTTGGGCGCCACACGATGGCAGCCCACTGCTCCCCAGGGGGAGGAGTTAAATGCAGAGAGTGAATTTCGTTGCTCTGCACTTGTGACAGTTTGATGAGAATAAAAGCTGTGGGGGGGGGGGGGGGGGGGGGGGAACAAAACAACATTCATTAGAATAATTATCCAACTTATATGGTCTAATCAACAAAGAAAGGAAGTCAACATTTCTTCATTCTTTCCCCAGACCTAAAAACTATAGACATCTTGTGCATAAAAAACATTTTCCTTTATGCTGCAACCTTGTGAATTGTTTTAAAAAATATAAACAGCTGGGGTTCAGAAATGAGTGGTACTAATATATAGATTTTTTCCCCCATTGAATGAATGTAATCACATCATCCGTATCAGGATTGCCATTAAGGTCCGAAGGTGTATTTCAGGCCTGGTTTAAGGTGAGTTACTTTGAACGATTTGTGTCTCTCCACACTTGCAGAGCTGATGGCTTCATCCATCCAGGGCTGAGGAGGTGGCAGTCAATCTACCATCTGGAGTCTGAGAGTCCTAGAAGGTTTTCACCATTAAAGACAGACTTATGGGCAGGTCGAAATGAAAGGAGCTTCAGACCAGCAGAAGGGAGGCCATGGCTTCAGGATGCTCATGAACGGCTGCACACGAAGCAGGACTGGATGAGGAGCAACAGAAGAATGGCACAGATGCTCGACATCGAACAAATGGTACAGGGATTTAAATGTTTTAAAAAATCAAAAGTCATTCAGGGTTTGGTCAAATGTTACATTTGTACTTTGACATATACGTCTGTGTCATGCAGCTGCTATCCAAATCAATGAGTGGTGTCGGACAGGATGCAGGTGAATTACAACAACTGGACTGGAGTCGACACCATGGAGACCTCAAAGAAAGGTAGCAGTGGCAAAGCACATGTAAATGGTAGTTCAGGATTTTCATAATTTATTTTTCTTTGAAGAGCCTTAAAGCTGGAAAATGAGCTGCAGCACATGAGGTCTAATTTTGAGAATGTAAGTGAAGATCATTGGACTCGTCTTCCAGCTCCAGCGTTACACAGCGAATCCCTAAAGACTCCAGGAGACGTGCAGAAACAGGTGCTAGGCCTTGTGTTGAAAGCATATGTGTTAGAGCATATTTCTGCATTTAAATTCTGCTTTGAATACAGGAGAAGAGCAATCTTGCAGCTGAGGTTGGCTTCCTAAGGAAGGCCCTAAGAGAAGCTGAGGCAAAGGCCACAACTCTTCAAGAAGAACGAGACAAAGCAGTGAAGGATCTTCAGACTTCTGTAGAGGTACGATAAAAAAGCCCAAAAATAATCCCAATGGTATGTCATTAGTACCTAGCCCCTCTCATATCTTGTTAATCAAACAGGAGATGAAAAAGAGAGAGTGATTGATGCGACACAGGGACTCTGAGCTTCAGAAACAGCTGAGAAAAGCCAACAGCAAGATTAGCCAAGCTTGTCTGCAGTAAAGTTGAACAGCTTCACCTCAACAACATTCAGCCTGAGTCTGAAACTGACATGCTTAATATTTAATTCAGATTATATACTATAGCTCCAATTCACATCATGTCATCTCAAGGCACTTTACAGTTCACCAGATCATCCAGTCGGATTGATTCAAAGGTTTGTCATGATTTTATCTAAAGCTCACCCACATACGCAGTGAAGCCAAACAGAGAGACACAGTAAAAGTTCAACGGGTTTTATTGAAGAGTATTTTGAGTTTGGTGCAGAGTTCCTCCGAACTCTGCTCGGCCGGGAACTGGAAGACGAGGGGAAGACGGACTGTTAGATTCAGGCTCAGTGGGAAATTGGAGTTGTTAATCTTGAAGGAGAGGATTTGTTGCCACTCACGTTTCCGGAGAAGAAGAGACACGTAGACTCCAGCCTGTGTGTTGGTCTTCCAGAGTTTGTTTGATTCGGTGGAGGGCGGAACAGGGTTTACCCAGAACTCAGACGGAGTGGAATGATGCAGCCGCTGGTTGCAACTCAGTTTTCCTGTGGTATTGAAGGAGTCGTGGTGAAGATGATTTCCTTACTCAGAGACTGATCTCTAACCTGACTCCGCCAGATGGATTTGCTCCGCATATCCATCTGGAAACCTTCAGTTGAAGTAATTTTGGGAAGGGGCGAAAATACTGGTTAGCTGATTGGCCTATGTTGGTGATAGAAGGGCCAAATAAACCAATCAGATCAGCAAAGCATATGACGTACTGACAGAACGACAACGAAAACACAACCACAAGTCAGGCTACTCTTGCCGAAACCAGTCGGGAGAAGAGCAAAAACATCTTTTCCTCTGAGGAAAGCCTCCAGAGCAGTGTTTTGCTCTTCTTTCAGTGAAGAAATACTCTGTAATTCCGATAAAACTTGCTCGATAGCCACGCTAACGCTAGTTTCATCGGCTGAAGCCGCCATGTTCTTTAGACTGAACTGTCGCGCTTCTCGTTGCGTCACACCTCAACCCGCCTCAAAGCCAACGCTGATTGGACGTTTGTTTGGTGAACGGCTCCAAATTTTCTTCAACGGAGAGTCTCCAGACTGATTAGTGAGTGAAACCTTGAAAGCTCACGAGATCAGGATGGTCTCTAGAGGCTAAGTGATCTCAGCACCGAAAAAGTTCCAGTTTGCAGGAAGGCTTCCTGCCGAAAGGCAAAGAACAAAAAGTTTAGTCTCAAGAAGAAACAAGCGCTCAACAAAAACTCAATGTGATCTCAGCTTGGCTAGAGAACAAAAACTCAAAATGCAAAAACTCAGATTAGACTGAGCATAAACAAGGCTTGGCTAGAGTACCCCAAACTGGCAAACACTCTGGCATCGAAGTAGTGGCAACCAGCAGCTTAAGAGTAGTCCGGTGATGAGGCAACAGCTTGCAGGTGTGCGAGGAGGCGAACCGGAGCCAGGCGCCTCCTGGTGGTGGAAGGGAGAAACACAAAAGACAAGACAGACAAACACAAAACTGGGATCCTGACAAGTTTTCTATCTAAGCTGATTGCATCGACTGATTGTCTAGAATGCAATCACACTAAGCATGCTTGTAAAGCATTTAAGGTGCAGAAAATTATTAATTAAAAGAATCATCTTGCATAGAATCCAGGACCAGGAGGTGCAACTGAACAGAACCACACAACATCCACCGTCTTTTGAGATCCCTGAAGTCCTCACTAATCCAGAGTCTCTGGTTTATTTGCTCTGCTCAGTGTCATGGAGGGTAGCACTGCAAGAAGGTTCTGGGTTCGATTCTGGGCCTGAGCCTTTTCTGCATGGAGTATATGTAACCGGCCTCCGCATTGTGTAATGATGAACCTTTCAATTACTCCAAGTCGGCCAATAAATGGCATATTTATTCTGCAAAGACTGAAACAAAACTATTCAGCAGCAAATAAAAACATCCAGCCGACATCAATCCACCTGCTGTGACAAAGCGAGTGCATAAAAATATAGCATTGCGTGGGAAAAAGCTTGTTCACAGAAATGCTGCAACAACAAGAACCCTTTCACTCAATAAAAATCATTCCATGTTTAACTAAACAACCCACAAACACGTTAGCTTAAAAACGGCTAAACATTTTTCCTTTTACATCAATTAAACAAAACAAAAAAAAAGCTCCATGAAAACTCACCTTCCTCCATTGCAGTAATGAACAGTGTGGTGAAGGAGGAAGGTTTTTCTTTTGCTCCTTGATTTCTAGTGTTTAGTTTTCTTTTCACCATGTTTCTTTATTCCTAGTTATTTGATTATTATTTTGTTGATGTTTTCTTATTAGTTCCTGTCTTCCAGCTTTTCATTTGTTATCCTCTGCTGCCCTCTTGTGTCCTCTTTCTCTTGCTCTGTTCTCTGTTCAGCTCTCACCTGTGTTCAGTTCCCTCATTAGCCCTCTCTTTGTCTCTGTCCCCTTTAAAAACCCTCCCTCTTCAGTTCCTGTTTGGTGGATCCTCGTCTTACTTCTCTTCAACCTCTGAACAATCGTCTGTCTGCCTGCTTCTTCTCTTCCTGGTTATTTGATTTTTGGTTTTCCCTTGATGTCTCCAAGAATCTGGTTCTTGAGCTTTTGTTGGATTTTTTGACTCCTGCCTCCGTGCCTGTGAACTTTAATTAAACCACTTCAAATTCATCTCAAGCAAACTCGTCTCTGCATTTGGGTCCTCAAACCAACACCACCTAATCCTGAGAGATGTCATTGGTTATAACCTAAAAAGTAAAACTAAACGTTCCCAAAACTATTATACAGATTATTGTTCTTTAAAATAATAATTTGAAGATAAAGCCGAAAGAGAATACATTAATAAAAATATAAGATGAAGGATTTTTGATGGAATTAATTTTCTTTCTAACATGTTACATATGCATGTTCTCCCTGAGCATGTGTGGGTTCTCTCCGGGTACTCCGGCTTCCTCCCGCAGTCCAAAAACATGACTGTTAGGTTAATTGGCTTCTCTAAATCCTCCTTAGGTGTGAATGTGAATGATTGTTTGTCCTGTTTGTCTCTGTGTTGCCCTGCGATGGACTGGAGAGGGTGGACCCCGCCTCTCACCCATAGGAAGCTGGAGATAGGCACCAGCACCCCTCGCAACTCCAGCTGGGATAAGGGTGATGAAAACTGGATGGATGATTTCTTTGCTAAACTGCTTTGTCTTTGGAGCAGGTTAAAGAAAACATGAAACAAGAACTTGAAGTGATCATGAAACATCTGGCCTCGACACAACTTCAGCAGCAGGAGCTAAATGAGGAGAGAATCAGAACTTCGAGACAGATCACAGATCCAGAAGAAAAGCGCTCTAAGCTGATCAGAAAAAAGAAGGAGCTCCTGAGTAAAAAAAACCAAAGTGGATGTACAGCTTTAAATGAGACAAACAAAAGCAACCTGCCGCACAGGTAAGATGGTAGATAGGTTAACTCCTCACTGTGTGAATATCAGATTCAAGTAATACCTTCGTAACAATGTTAAAAACTACTACATTTATTTTACAGTACATCTGAAGAAAATCTGGAATTAGAAAATCTGCAGAATCAGGTTCTCTGTTTAGAAGAAAGGCTTAGAGAGAAGGAAACGATGCTGCGACTGCAGGAGGAAAATGATGAAAAGAAAACCCTTTGCATCAAACAACTGGAGGAAACGGCTTCACATTGGATGGAAAAATGGCAAAATGCTGCCTTGATGCTTCAGTCCACACAAGCTGAGTTAGAAGAACTCAGGAAAAAGGACACAATGAATAAAGTAAGGAAACCACACATTTAAAACTGTCTGAAAAATAAAACCTGGCTTGATTCATAGTTTTGTTCTGTATTAGTTTTCTCTCCTATTTGCTTTTGTTAATAATTGTTAAAGTAGAAAATTAAAGCTTTGTAACCCATATCAGCGCGTGCTTCTACATCTCACACTGTAGTCCTTTACCCAGAGGACCTTAACAAAGTTTTAAAGGAATAGTACACCCAAAACATGATTAGCCTTCATTTTCTACTCACCCCCATGCTGAACAACACTCTGGAGTACTTTTTTGATATCTCAAATGCACCTGGAGATCTGGGAGGCTTCTTGCTGTCTGCTGACATTCAAATAATGGAGGTCTATGGCGCCCGAGACAGAAAGGTCCATAAAAGTCCACAAAAAACGTGTCAATATTCCTCCATACTGCTCGTCCAATGTATTCCAAGTGTCCTGAGTGGGTAGCGTCCAGAATTTACTCGAAACAAAGTCATTTAGAATGTTTTTAGAGCATAAACAGTAGTGTATAGGATTTCCTGAAAGCTACGGAAACCGCGGCAGACCAAACCAGATGAAAGTGCGCATTCAGCGTCTGCTCTGCCGATAATGCAAGCGTAGAAGAAGAAATGTGCTGTTTACCTGTGCAAAGAAAGAAACAACGAAAGAAAAATGTCTGAGGACTTCAGTGTTGAGGAAGAGCATGAGTTCTTTGCCAAGCTGAATGCGCACTTTCATCTGGTTTGGTCTGCCGCGGTTTCCGTAGACTCGTGAACGCGCTTTCAGGAAATCCTATAGACTACTGTTTATGCTCTAAAAACATTCTAAATGACTTCTTTTTGAGTAAATTATGGACGCTACCCACTCAGGACACTTGGAATACATTGGACGAGCAGTATGGAGGAATATTGACACGTTTTTTGTGGACTTTTATGGACCTTTCTGTCTCGGGCGCCATAGACCTCCATTATTTGAATGTCAGCAGACAGCAAGAAGCCTCCCAGATCTCCAGATGCATTTGAGATATCAAAAAAGTACTCCAGAGTGTTGTTCAGCATGGGGGTGAGTAGAAAATGAAGGCTAATCATGTTTTGGGTGTACTATTCCTTTAATGTCAGATTCATAAAAACAGGATGCATATTGTTTTTTTATTCAGAAATATTTAGGAATTGGTGCCGGGTGATTTTTTTTTATCACTTTGAAAGAGAAAATATTTATTTGCTTGAAAACAAAAACAGAAAGAAAAAAATAAAAATGAGTCGCTGATTAAACAAAAATATAAGTACAACAAAATCCTTTTTCCGGTGAGGAAAAATTAAAGATCCGTACCTCCTTATAACCAACAAAGTTACTAAAAGTGCTTGTTTTTTTTTTTACCTACAATTAATGAGTTTAAAGCTGGAACTGTAAAGATTAAAAAAGGAATAATAAAAATAGATATGATTTCAAGTTTATCAAATGTAGATTAATGAGGGTATCTGGTTATAAATTAAATGCTGAGTTCTAAATGTTTTGTCAAAGATTGTTTTTATAAATTATAATAATTACTGATATCAACACACAACCTTGAGAGATGCCATTTTTCTTTTCTTTCCTCTCAGATAATTGGCAAACTGTCTGATAACATCTGAAAAATGTTGGCTAAAAATATTGTGATCAATTCTGTGAAACAGCTTTTCTTAAAAATCTATATCATTATTGCTTCTCTTAAAGACTTTAATCGTGTCCTTTATGACTGTCAACGCTGCAAAACAAAAACAGACTTTTCTGATAGTCTGACTCTAATATTAGTTGAATTTTCAAACCTTTTAAGAACCAGAGATTTATTCACCTTAGCAGGACAAAATGTTTAAATTGCTTTAATTTGAATGTAAAAAGGTGTATTTCTCTTTTAGGAGAGATGTAAGTATTTTATATTCCAAGGGGATTTAATCTGTAATTAATTTATGATAAAAACTAAAATTCTGTATTTTCACAGCAAGTTTAGAATATTTTTTTCATTTTCACAGAGAGATTCAGAGTCCTTACTGAGGTCCGTGTCTGACGCCTGGAAACAGGAAAAAGGTAAAAATAATAATAAAAAAAAGCTAAAAAATAAATCTAAGTGGAACCACTGATTTTTATTTATTCACTGGATTCCTGAATGCCTGAAAAAAGTGAAGCCACCATCCGCCATGCTGGTACTCCCCACTCCCACAGAGACATGCAGTAAAAATGCCTACATGTACAGCATATAGCTGCAAAAACAAGCAGTTTTCCAGCTGTGGGAAGACGCTCCACGGCTAATTTCACAGTCAGTGGATGAACTGACCAAGAAAATCCACATAATCAGCAATCCAGTGAATAAATAGAGATCAGAGAGTGAAATTAACCATCTTTACAAGCTTTAACAAACCCAGAAGAAAATGTAGTTAATTCTTTGAACACAAGGGGGCGTTAAAGTGCACTGAGCTTTTGCATTCAGGTAGTTGTTTTTTTTCCCTTATTTTTTTTCTTTTCTTTTTTTTTTAAGTTTTATTTTCATAAATCCAAAAAAACAGTTTCAGAAAAGCAGAAACATGCAATTAAACAAACATATGCCATCCATAACAGTTTTCTTTCAGAAAAAGAAACAATATAAAAGAATGAGAAAATTTAAATTTAAATAAAAAACAAACACAGGGGTTTAGCTAAAGTATATTGCTATCAAGTCTGTAAACTTTAAGGCCTTGTTGTTCTCCAGTAACTTAATCGAGGCATGAAAACTTTTAAAATCATTTTGGAATGCTTGAACATTTGCAGAAACTTTAAAGAATCTGCACTTGTGGATAAATGTTTTCAGGTAGTGAGTTGGTGCAGACTGTTGATAACAACACACAGACAGAGTGAGTGGATTTTTAGCAGATTTTCACAGAACGGATGTTTGGAAAATACTCTGAATAAAACTCTAACCTTTTGCTCTGTTTTCTGTTATCAGCTTCTCATCAGTAACGCATCAGGCTCCATCAGACTCCCCATGTAACCACGGCAACCCCCCCTGGTATCAACATATTTCTCTATCAATTACAGGTTTAATTTTGAAATATTAGAATGTATGTGTTAACATGATCAGGGGCGGATTTAGGACATTTGGGGCCCTAGGCAAAGACAGGCAGGGGGCCCTCTGAATTTAGAAGACAACACATAAAACAGCCCCATTCTCCAGATAGAGAAATGTTAATAGAATAGACATCCATTATCTGTTCTAGGTTGTGTCCCTCTCTTCTTGTCCCTTTTCTTCTTGTTTTCCTCTCTATCTTTTGTACTCAGCTGACTTTTCATGCTGTCTCTAAAGGAATGAAAGATTTTTTCCAAGCACTAAGCTCACTTAGCTGATTGCTCCTTCCTGTGTTTCCAAAAAGGCCAAAGTAAATAACCCAGTCCTTCTTTTCACTGTAGACAAGCCATGATCTGCTTATCTGTTCTCCATTTTTCATTTGGATGAAATAATAGCTGCATGAATCATGACAGCAGACAAGATAGAGGAGAGCAGGAGGCGGGGTTACCAATCTACTTGCTCTGGAGAGCAGAGTTCGCTGCTTTTAGATGTTGTCTCCAAAGTCTCCAGTAGCAGAACAAAAAGCCACTAAATTTGGCGCTAGGAGCTTTTTTGAAATTGAAGCGCTAGAGGGGTCTGAAAAGTGGCTAAATATAGTGACAAAAGCATCGTTTGTCTACAAATGGTTTGCTGCTGTCTGTTTGGACCTTTCTGAACATGTGCAGCAATGGGGCAGTTTTTGCACATATATATGTCTACAAATTGATTTGGACTTTAAGGCAGCAAAACAAGGATTTGGACTAAACCTGTTTTGTTCTTTCTTATTTTTATTGTAATTTTTTTTTTTTTTTTTTGTTTATGTTTTAAAAAATTGAAAAAATCAATAAATACTTGAATTACAAAAAAAAAAACATAATTAATGTACACAAATAAGGAATAGTTGTATTGATAACTAGGCAACTGCCTAGTTTTGCCTAATGGTAAATCCGCCCCTGAACATGATCATATGATTAGCAGGACTGGAGGCAGAGCAGCGAGCTGCAGAGGCTGAAGGAAAAACTTACAGAAACTAAGCTGGAAGTGAGAGAGAAGTAAGACTGGTGTCATAAAATCTGTTAGGTGCAATGCTCCTAAAGTAAGTCACTTTTATTCACATTTGTTTGTTAGAGAGCACAATCTGAGGACTATGGAAAAGTTACGAGAGATGGAGAGAACTGAAGCTCAAACTAAGATTTCTGCTCTGGAGCAAAAGGTACAGAAATCTCATTTTTATTTCTAAATGAAAGGAAATTAATTAAAGGATAACTGGAATGAACATTCTTTCTTTTTCTCTCGATATAAAAGCTTCTGATAAACAGTGGAAATGTTTGGACAGATGCTTCAGACCATGACTCCATACACATGCAGCAGGATGGTATGAGCTCTTGCTCTTATAAGACACTTCCTGTGAAGGGAATGCATGCTTTTCCCCCAACAGAGATTTAAATAAAAAATAAGTCTTTGTGCTTAATTTCAGAAAGCAGAAAAAGATCAGATGAGACCCAGCAGATGAATCCTCTGATGCTTCATAAATATCAACCTCAAAGGCAGCAGTTTCCCCCAGTAAAGTGTTTCAACAGAACATCTGCTGATGATCTATGTTCGCTCTCTGACTAACAAAAGCACTTTCTACATACTTGATTCCTTTTTAATGCATTTAAAGCTACAGTAGTCCTGCATGTCATTGAGTGAACAGAGTATTTGGGGAGTGTTGCTCTAGTGTTTAGAGCAGTGCGCTTGAGAAGGTTGCAAGTATCCGTCGATGCATCAAGGATTAGCATTTAAATAGGGAAAGATACGTTACTGAAACAAAGTGCTGGGCATATAAGAAGAATATTAAAGGTATACTATGCAACTGGTGTTGATTTTCCAGCGAGGCTCCCCCCAGAGGGCGAAAGTAAAAGTGCACTGTCGTAAATATGCTCAGCTGTTCTCCTGGTTTCTCCGTCAAGCCAGGCGCGGTTGTTTTAAGCTTAGCAGACAGGCGAACGCAACGAATAAATGCTGCGTTCACACCGCAGCTGGCGCGACAGAAGCAGCGAGTTTACATGCAAAGTCAATGGTTGACGCACGTCAAGGCGCAACAAAAGATCCAGCGGCGCATTTTGAGCAGCAGGCGCAGCGCGTCTGAGCAGCTGAAGCAACGCGTCGGGCGCGTTTAATCATCTGACGCAGGGAGAGAGACACAGCGCTGATGATCAGAGGCTATGATCTCTCCTCTTAAACAGTCTATTGACGCCTAAATTAACTTAAAATGCAGAAATCTGCCGGCAGAATATGCAGTTCGGATTATTTAGATGAAAAACACCTACCAGCTGCCGCGGTGAACCGCGAGGAGGCGACCCGGCCAGAGGCTGCTGATGAAGGGATTCCTATTGAAGGCAGGATGATAATCTGAATGAACTGACGGCACTGATTACGTTTTCAGGTGTATTTTCTCACTTAAACACATTAAAACTACTTTATTCCCACTGATCACAGCAAATATAGCAGCAAGGCAGAGAAAGGATAGTGGAGCTCCGCCCAACGCGCGTCAGACACACTTTTGCAGCAAAGGTGCTTCAGCCACGCGTCAGAACTAACTGGTACAAGCAGTAAAAATGAAGCAGCAGACGCGATTTTGCTGCTTTTGCTGCGTGAACGTAGCATAACTGCACAAAGGTCACCACTGTGCTAGCAACGAGAATGCTTTTAACTGGGGGGGTGTAGCAGTTCTCGCCGTAAAGCAAGACTGACTCTCACGAGACTTCTGAGCCTGTGGGTGCGGGTCGGTGCTCCTGCAATTGCAAGTACGGTATTTCCCCTACAGACCACCAGGGCGGCCGAGAAAACCTTTGTTCAACCTGAAATGACTCATTTAATCATCCAAAACGTTATGGAACACATTAATTAACTGAAAAATGTTGCATAGTGTGCCTTTAAAGTTATAAAGTCGCCTAGTTAGTCTCCAGACCTCGCTACTGTGGAAAATCAGTAGAGTGAGATAAAACTTTAGCTACCAGACAGGAGGCAATTTAAAAAAAGAATATTTTAAGGAGAAGAGTGGGTCAAGGTCTCTCCTTAGATGGGAGCTACCAGCTCAAGTTTCTGAAAAAAGTTCTCAGTCTTGCTTTGATTCAAATATTTATGTTTTTATTCTGATTTTTCCCTTATTAGCTGCCTACCTGCAATAAACCAGAAGAAAAATAAATCTAGAGACTCTGGGGTTGTTGATAGAATCTCAAAAACCCAGCAGGGGATTTAATATCTCTGCCCCTAAATGTACAAAACACCTTACATGCAAAAATGTGTAAATCATAAGTGTCTTATCTTCAGGCTAAAGATGGGAAACTCCTTTTTGAAGACAAGAAGAAAAAAAACATCTGTCCTTTTAATCCTGAGGTGGAGCAGCAAAGAAGGCTGGTCACTGAGCAGGTAGAGCAACACACAGACCACAGGGGATTTAGCCATAGGATTACATTAAGAGCCTTTTTTTCATCTTTTTTGACAATCAGTCATAATGAAATAGAATTATATAACATAGTATTGGCCATATGATCAGCAATACTAGGCTGGAGCTCTCTTTCAACTGCTAATTCAGACACTAACAGTTTTACATTCATAGTGAAGCCAAAGCTTGTTTGGATTTATTCTTCTAGACAATAAAGTTTTAGCACTATTGAATCGGGTAAAGCCAATATATGCTGCTACAGTTACTCTAAAAATGTTGATATGTTCTAACAAATTCAAAATCAGTTTTCATGGCCCACCCTAAATGTGGCGGGGTGGCCATTTAAACCTGAATCGATTGCTAGGATTTAATCCATCCATTTTCCGTCACGCTTATCCAAAGCGGGGTCGCAAGGGATGCAGGTGTCTATCTCCAGCTGTCTACGGGCGAGAGGCGGGTCCATCCTGGACAGGTCGCCAGTCCATCGCTGGGAAACGAACACAAACAACCATTAATGCATACACTCACAGCTAAGGAGAATTTAGAGAGGCCAATTAAGCATAAAGTCATGTTTTTGGGTTGTGGGAGGAAGCCAGAGTACCCAGAGAGATCCGAGCATGCTCAGGGAGACATGCAAATTCCATACAGAAAGACCCCGGTCCAGGAATTAAACCTGCACTGGAAAAAACAAAATCTAGATAAGTCATTTTTTTCTTAAAATAGCTGCATTTGTTCTTGGATTGAGGAGGTAAGAGAAACATTTTGCCAATGGAACAAGACAATTTACATTTAAAATAAGAAAACACAATTGCATTGTCTTATTTTAAGTGCATATTATCTAATTATCCTATTTTAAGAGTAAAAATACTAATTTCATTGGCAAACTATCTCATTTGCCTACTTAAATTAAGGGTAAATACACTTTATTTAAGAATTTTTTACTTATTTCTAGGTCGTTTTTCCAGTGTGGAACCTTCTTGCTGCAAGGCAGCAGTGCTTCCCACTGCATCACTGATCAGCCTAGGATTTAATCAACCAATAGAAATATGTTTGCATTTTCAGGTCGCCTCAATCAGATCAAAATACTTTATCTGTCATAAATGTAGATAATTAATCAATAAATGATCAATAAATTCTCACATGCTTTTGATTGTAGTTGAAGAGCTTGTTTAAGGAGCGAGAAGGAAAAGAGGCAAAGGAAACAGCAGCCGCTCAAAGTGGATCCCTCACACCTCAGGACTGGACCGCCTCATCTTTAATTGAACGGGTGAGAAGAATAACGTAGAAAATACAATGCATCAAAAAAATTAAACCAATTCATTTTTTTCAGGCCGCTGCAGACAGGAAAAACTGGCAGCAGGGTTCAGCTTTAATGCCGCTGTTGGAGGAAGATGAAGAGAACTGGTAGAAGAAGAGGAAGCAGAACGGGAAACTCATCCTTAGGTAAAGTTTTTAAATTGCACATTTTACAAACTCTAGAATAAATGTGAAACTATAGGCGTTTTTTACCTTTTTTTAGCGGTGCTGAAGAAACCCTAATTTGAATCAAAGCACCCCTAAAATATGAGTTGTTTTTTAATACTTTTACAATAAAAAATAAACAAAACAACAACGTAAATGTGACATTGTAAAAACTATACAGTAGTTTGTTATTTTACCTCTTCAATTATGTTCTGGTTAGTCAGAAATAATAAAAAACAAGTAAACAAGCCTGATGGAGCTCCTTAACTAAAGAAACGCTTTGAGGAAAACGCTGCATTCAGGTGTTTTCTGAAATTCTCAGTCAGATTTCTTCACCTATTGATGGTGTGTTGGTGAAATGTTCACCAACGAGGTGCTCTAATGTGTCTGAGATTGGTTTGTTTGGTTATCTTTAAAGCCACAACTCAATATCAATATCTAAATTGACGGAATCATTATTTGGATTAAAGAGGTAGAGGCGTAGAGAGCAGCAAAGGTGTGTGCAGAGTGAAAGGTCAGGAAAAACAAGGCAAGAAAACAGACAAAATAGCAGCAGTTGTTAAACTGGCAAGAAAAACATTTCATTCAGTAGATTATTTTAAATTTATCATGAAAGTATTTTTGACACACAAAAGAAAAAACTCATTTAAGGAAAACTTATTCAAAATTGTTCACGAAATTTGTTGATTTAAAAGCTTCTTGCTTTGCTTGTCGGCACACGTCTCAGATACGATGCATTAGTGAAAAATGGAGGCAGTCATTAACAAAATGCACTGAAAAAGTTTAAAAAATATGTGTAAAAAACAGTGAAATTAATGCTCTCTGGGTGCTCAGCCCCCCTAAACCTCTGGTCCTAGAATCGCTCCTGGTAAAAACATCTCTTTAGCTGTAATCTGACCACAAATATATGCAGTAATTTTGTTCCTGCACACTGAAATGTGTCAGTAATTATTATATACAGCTATCTGTAAATGGCTTTAATATCATGAAACACACATAATCTCATCCAATCAAGCGAGCGTCCCATTTCATTACCTACATATATGTTCACATATGTGCAAAATGAGCTAATCCCAGCTTCCATTTTAATCAAACTGCATCCGGTCCGAGTGGAGAGCTGAAGGTCACCCCTTAAACGCCACGTCAAACATGTCTGAGCAGTAATCTCCAAAATGACTCTCTCTCCCAGGACTTTGTAAATAATCGGATATGGAGCTGAGAAATGTACCGCTCAGCTGGAGCACATCTGACTGAAAATGTAAGAGGATAGGAGCGAGTTACAACGTGTCGCCGTCCTAAACTAAAGCTCTGCGGCACGCACGCAGCCTGTATGATGGATATTAACATTACTCAGACTGACAGAAGCACATTATGATAAAGAGATGAGAGAGAATTTTAACTAACAGTCTATTTAGAGTATTTATGTTCAGCCTTAGCCATCTATTTATTTTAATTTCCCCTGAGTATGAATTTCTGTTAAAGCCAAATAATTCTATTCAATTATATTCAATCTCAGACTGTGTTTTAAGGAATTTCTGTTAGGTTTTATAATGATCAAATAGATCTTTATAGGGCAAGTTACTGTTTTTGATCACTTGCATACCCCTTACAAATCCCCCCGTCCCTCAGTGAGGTCTAGAAGCACAAGATCTATATCCAGCCATTCCGCTAAGATCCTGCTACATGGCTGCACATCCTATTTTGGCATTTGACCAATTAGATGAGCCCTCGAATTATATATTAGCTACTGTAAATTAAGTTGAAAAAAAAGTTAAAAAGTTAAGAAAAAAGTAAAAGCTAATTGAAAAGTTAACATGTAAAGTTATGAAAGAGGAACACCTTTTTTGTTGTTCTTTTTTTTTTCCATAGGGCCCTTGATTTTATGTTATTACACTGCAAAAAATAGAAATCTCAATAAGTTATTTTTTTCTTAAAATAAGTGCATTTTTCCTTGAATTGAGGAGGTAAGTGAGACACTTTGCCGATGGAACAAGACTATTTCCTTTTAAAATAAGAAAAAACAATGTTATTGTCTTATTTCAAGTGCATTTTATCCAATTATCTTATTTTAAGAGTAAAAATACTCATTCCATTGGCAGATCATCTTATTTACCTGCTCAAATTAAGGGTAATTATACTTACTTTAAGAATTTTTTTACTTATTTCTGGATTATTTTTGCAGTGTACATCATGTTCTACTCACCTATATTAGCTTTGTGTCATTTGGAGCCGTTCTGAAGATATTCCGTTAGGTTATATCCAAGTAACGTCTTTCTATGGGCAACGACTTGAAGGCACAAACTAAACTGTTCATAATTTATACTTTATTGTACGCCAGCATTCAGAACTTAGGCGAGTCACTGTCCCCCAGATATCCACGATTATATATTTTTTATTTATATTTATTAAAAACAAAGCGGCGCGTGTATGACGTCATTCATGTGCGCCGGCTACCGTTCCTTCATCCTGTCCGCTGAACTGCTGCTAGTTTTCCTCACATGCCTGGAAGATGTCTAGTGCTGCTACCACAGATGATCTCGCTCTCCAAATGGAATTGAACGATTCAGATTAGCTAGAATGAATAGAAGGGGTAGGGCGTAGCTGCCTGTGGCTTGGGCTGCCTGTTACGACTCCAGTCCGGCGTGCGGATGACGTCATACAGACTCCGCTAAATCCATTAAATCACTGCAAACTAGGGATGCACAATATAATCGGCCCCCTTTCGGTATCGGCCTTAAAACTGAATATCGGACATCGGCCACCCCACCGATATTTAACCTGATATTTGATCAGCTTCTAAATTTCTAAAGTCAAAAAAAAAAAAGTAAATACTACTTCTTACTCTTCCTCAAAAACTTCTTTTTTACAGACTTAAAAACTTCTAAAGACGAGGGAAAAATATTTATACATTAAAATATCCCAATATCTTCATATGCTGATATATTGCCATTTAAAAACACCATATCAATCTCTTTTACTAATGAAATATTGCTATATGTCATCGTTATGCTACGAAATCCCCCGAAAATTCACGAAATTTTTATATGTTGATATATTGACGCGGTATCGATCTATTTTACTAACAAAATTTCACAAGAATTTGCAAAATATCACGAGAGTTTGTAACAGAACGATGAAATTTCACGAGATTTTGAAAGTAAAATAGATCGATACCGCATTTTAAAAAATCTATTTGATATCAGCATATGAAAATATATTTGAGTATATTATTTTTCAAAGTGTCAGAAATGGATAACAAAACTGCTATTTTCAATGACTACTTATTTTTGTCCAGCTTTAACATCAGTATCAATATCGGTTATCGGCTACATGAGTTTTAAAATATCGGATATCGGCCAAAATCCCAATATCGTGCATGTCTAGTGCAAACGTATTAGTTTTAGGTATAAATAATGATCCATTGATCATTCCTTGCTCACTGGACTTTTCCTTTGAAAAATGATTTTAAACTCACATAAAGTTTCAGTGGCTGCCACAAAATTTGGGATTAATCTGACAGGGGAAACTTGTTAAATTCAATTAGTTTATTTCAAACACTGCAGAGAGTCTTTAACAATGGAGCAGGACAGATATTATGCAAGCAAAGGACAGACAAACCTGCCATGTGTGCACAACAATAGATTGATTGAGTTTATCTATTACAAGAAAAAGTTTAAACTAACTCTTTAAAGCCAAGTGTATCATATTTGAGACCTCTGCATCATAGCTGTGATATTTTTGTTCCTGAAAACCCTGACGCACACAATCAGACACATGTAGTGAACGGAAAATGTATAAAAGATTATATAGAAATGCAGAATGTATCAGAATTTATGCAATTAATTGATCTAATCAAGTTTATTAAAAAGTTATGTTTTTAGTTTTGTTTGTCAGGAAGTTTGATAAAAACTATAATTTCAAAAAGATTAGAATATTCCATCAATTATCTCATGGTCTGGGCTTTAAAGGGCTAAAGATAAAGTTGCTTCACTTCTTGTAATCTGTAGCACAGGTCTGGCTGTGCAGTTGTGTTTGTTATAATATAATATTTATCTCAATTTTAAGCAGAGTTATTTGACATTTTTTTCATCTTCACTCCAAAAACAATCTAGAAATAAGTAAAAATTTCTTAAATTAAGTGTATTCACCCTTAATTTGAGTAGGTAAATGAGATAGTTTGCCAATGGAATGAGTATTTTTACACTTAAAATAAGATTATAGATAATATGCACTTTGAAATAAGAGAATTTAACTGTGTTTTCTTATTTTAAGTGTAAATTGTCTTGTTCCATTGGCAAAATGTATCTTTTACCTACTCAAAGTAAGTGTAAATACACTTAATTTAAGACATTTTTACTTATTTCTAGATAGTTTTTTCCAGTTTGGTACGCCAGCATTCATAACATGTGGGATCTGCGGTTATATTTTTTATATTTATATCTTCATTACTAATCCTTTTCCCTACCTTAATTTGAAACTGTGGTATAATAATTGTTATCCCTTCCCTATTAGCTGTGCCGGAAGATTTCAGGAGGAAGATATTACAATATTTGGGTAAAAATGGCCGCCCCCAGACTCAGTGATCGCAATGAATATTATTATTTTCATTTTTTTTTTACTGATTAACGCTAAATCCATTAAATCACTGCAAACGTATTAGTTTTAGGTATAAATAATGATCCATTGATCATTCCTTGCTGACTGGACTTTTCCTTTGAAAAAATGATTTTAAACTCACATAAAGTTTCAGTGGCTGCCACAAAATTTGGGATTAATCTGACAGGGGAAACTTGTTAAATTCAATTAGTTTATTTCAAACACTGCAGAGAGTCTTTAACAATGGAGCAGGACAGATATTATGCAAGCAAAGGACAGACAAACCTGCCATCTGTTTACAACAATAGATTGATTGAGTTTATCTTTTACAAGAAAAAGTTTAAACTAACTCTTTAAAGCAATTGTGTATCATATTTGAGACCTCTGCATCATAGCTGTGATATTTTTGTTCCTGAAAACCCTGATGTACACAATCAGACACATGTAGTGAACAGAAAATGTATAAAAGATTAAATAGAAATGCAGAATGTATCAGAATTTATGCAAATAATTGATCTAATCAAATTTATAAAAATGTTGTCTTTTTAGTTTTGTTTGTCAGGAAGTTTGATGACAACTATAATTTCAAAAAGGCAAGGCAAATGTATTTGTATAGCACAATTCAGTACAAAGACAATGCAAAGTGCTTTACATGATTAAAATATAGGAAGATAAAACAGAATCAAAGCAAGTAGGAAAAAAAATCTAAATAAAATAAAATAAAAAATGCAGAAACAAAAAAAGAATATTAAAAACAGTTGGACTAAAGAAAATATGTTTTAGTTGAACTGTTTAACTAAAATAGTCGAAGGCAATCCTAAACAAATGTGTTTTTAGTCTTGATTTAAAGGAACTCAGGCTTTCCGCACTTTTACAGTTTCTGGAAGTTTGTTCCAGATAAGTGGAGCATAGGAACTAAATGCTGCTTCTCCATGTTTAGTTCTGGTTCTAGTTCTGCAGAGCAGGCTGGAGCCAGAAGACCTGAGTGGTCTGGAGGGTTGATACACTGATAGCAAGTCTGTGATGTATTTAGGTGCTAAGCCATTCAGAGATTTATAGACTAACAGAAGTATTTTAAAGTCTATTCTCTGAGATACAGGGAGCCAGTGGAAGGACTTTAGAACTGGGGTGATGTGCTCTACTTTCTTAGTCTTAGTGAGGACACGGGCAGCAGCGTTCTGGATCAGCTGCAGCTGTCTGATCCACTTTTTAGGCAGACCTGTGAAAACACCGTTGCAGTAATCAATTCGACTAAAAATAAACGCATGGATTAGTTTTTCCAGATCATGCTGAGACATTAGTCCTTTAATTCTGGAAATCCTGGAAAAAGATTTGAATATTCCATCAATTATCTCATGGTCTGGGCTTTAAAGGGTTAAAGATAAAGTTGCTTCACTTCTTGTAATCTGTAGCACAGGTCTGGCTGTGCAGTTGTGTTTGTTATAATATAATATATATAATATAATTCTAGATATTTATCTCAATTTTAAGCAGAGTTATTTGACATTTTTTTCATCTTCACTCCAAAAACACCCTATATTCACCCTTAATTTGAGTAGGTAAATGAGATAGTTTGCCAATGGAATGAGTCATTTTACACTTAAAATAAGATTATAGATCATTTGCACTTGAAATAAGACAATGCAATTGTGTTTTCTTATTTTAAGTGTAAATGTCTCTTTTACCTCCTCAATTCAAGAACAAATGTACTTATTTTAATAAAAAATGACTTATCTAGACTTGGATTTTTTGCAGTGTTGATTGTGTCTTTTTCCCCATTTGTCCCATTTGAATGTTAACATTGTTTTCCTTAATATTTCCCTTCTTCTTTTAGTTTAAAAATTCTTGGATTTAAAGCAGCCCACACTGAAAACTGCAGCGATTAACCTGCAGTGGAGGAGAATGCCTTTCCTGCTGATATCAACCTGATATAATATCCCTGGTTTAGCAGCTGGATGATTGTGATCCCGATGAATAGGAGGTGAAGGAGGAGGACAGTTAGGTTTCTTGGATGTCTGCAAATCTGTAAAAAAACAAGCAGTATGCAACTCTGTAATCAAACAGACCTATCTATCTTTAAGTACCAGCCAACTTTGTGCTTGTTACTTCATTAGATGTTCTATTATACTCAAGATATGACTTTTTATTTGTGCCATTTATGTTTTGTCGAGTTAAGTTTGCTAACCTCACACTGCCTTAAAAAAAATATGAATCGCCTTTAACTTTTTCCAACAATATGACTTTGGAACAACAGATTTCAGTGTATTTTGATGGGATTTTATGTATTAGATGAACACAAAATGGTGAACATTTAAATTCAATTCAGTTTATTTCTATAGCGCCAATTCACAACACGTCATCTCAAGGCACTTTACAGTTCACCAAAGTTTCTATATAAAGAAAACCAGCTGATTGCATCAACTCATTGACTCTTCAGCAATCCCTCACACTAAGCATGCTTGTAGCGACAGTGGAGAGGAAAAACTCCCTTTGAACAGGAAGAAACCTCCAGCAGAACCAGGCTCAGTGTGAGCGGCCATCTGCTGAGGCCGACTAGGTTTAAAGGAATATTACACCCAAAACATGATTAGCCTTCATTTTCTACTCACCCCCATGCTGAACAACACTCTGGAGTACTTTTTTGATATCTCAAATGCATCTGGAGATCTGGGAGGCTTCTTGCTGTCTGCTGACATTCAAATAATGGAGGTCTATGGCGCCCGAGGCAGAAAGGTCCATAAAAGTCCACAAAAAACGTGTAAATATTCCTCCATACTGCTTGTCCAATGTATTCCAAGTGTCCTGAGTGGGTAGCATCCATAATTTACTCGAAGCGAAGTCATTTAGAATGTTTTTAGAGCATAAACGGTAGTGTGTAGGATTTCCTGAAAGCGCGCACATGCACGATCACGACGCTACGGAAGCCGGCAGACCAAACCAGCGCATTCAGCTCGGCAAAGAACTCATGCTCTTCCTCAACACTGAAGTCCTCAGACATTTTTCTTTCGTTGTTTCTTTCTTTGCACAGGTAAACAGCACATTTCTTCTTCTACGCTTGCATTATTGGCAGAGCAGACGCTGAATGCGCACTTTCATCTGGTTTGGTCTGCCGCGGTTTCCGTAGACTCGTGAACGCGCTTTCAGGAAATCCTATACACTACTGTTTATGCTCTAAAAACATTCTAAATGACTTCGTTTGGAGTAAATTCTGGATGCTACCCACTCAGGACCTTGGAATACATTGGACGAGCAGTATGGAGGAATATTGACACGTTTTTTGTGGACTTTTATGGACCTTTCTGCCTCGGGCACCATAGACGTCCATTATTTGAATGTCAGCAGACAGCAAGAAGCCTCCCAGATCTCCAGATGCATTTGAGATATCAAAAAAGTACTCCAGAGTGTTGTTCAGCATGGGGGTGAGTAGAAAATGAAGGCTAATCATGTTTTGGGTGTACTATTCCTTTAAGGAGACAGAAGCAGAGATGTAAAAAGCAACTTTAAAGGTGGCCCGTCCAGGTATTTGTAAAAACAACTCATGTTTTTATTTTTTTTTTTACAATTCCTTTAAGAAATCAGAAAAGCCTGGTGTGCATTCTGTTCAAATGTCTGAAACGCATCATATGGAAACACCTTCAGACGCAGGTCCTTGGGGGCCTTGAGTGTCTTTTTCAAATAAGTGTTTAGTTGTTCTTAAAGTTTCTTTTAAAACCTTGTCCAGAATAACCAGTATGTCTATGTTTTCAGTTTTAAATATCCAAAATCAAGGACATATTACTTTCATAAAATCAGGAGATACTGTGTTTCACTTGTAGTTGCACAAATATTGCATTGACCATTCGAATTGATCATACCCTGTTGTCTTAATTAAGACATACTTATGTTTATTCTCCATTAAGAGTAACATAAACCTCCTATAAAGAGGTGATAGAATGCTTTTAATGAAGAACTGTGGCCTTCAGTGGCTCTGCTTGAACAATGTGCAAGCAGAGCCACCTCTGCTGCCTCGATGCGCATGTCCCTCCAGTGAGCACTTCCTGCTTCTTCAGCACCTGCGCCGATGAGGACAGCGGCAGCAGCTTTACCCCCCCGAAGCGGTCCAATCTGATGCGACAGAAGAGAGATGGGGGTTTGGATTAAAGTAGTTTTAGTTACGTTTGCATAATCAGCAGTGCTGAGAGAATATTGTATTTATTTTGGTGCCTCTCTAAGAAAAGCATCACCTGCATAATTAGAAACTGAAGCGAGACACTGGAAAAACGATCTAGAAATAAGTAAAAATTTCTTAAATTAAGTGTATTTAGTTTACCCTTGGTTTGAGTAGGTAAATGAGATAGTTTGCCAATGGAATCAGTATTTTTACACTTAAAATAATAATTAGATAAGATAAGATAAGAGAATGCAATTGTGTTTTCTATTTTAAATCTAAATTGTCTTGTTCCATTGGCAAGATGTCTGTTTCATCTCCTCAATTCAAGAACAAATGCACTTATTTTAAGAAAAAATGACTTATCTAGATTTTGATTTTTTGCAGTGGAGGAGAAGCTGGTTGATGTCTTCTGGAGGAAGCTCAAAGACGAAGGAAATGAGTTTGTTTTCTTCTGATCAAAACACCATCATGGTGCCGATTGATCACCACCTGCTAGTCTGTGTACAGATTCATAAACATTGCAAACTGTTATAAAGCTTTTAGTGTTAGATCTGAGCTTATGTTTTAACTTGTCATAAAGAGCTGTTTTATTAATTATTATTTATCCAAAATAGATGGAAGAAGTGGCACTAATTAAGAAGTAAGGGTCAAACTATCTACGTTTAGCATAAAAGATCAGTTAAGATTTTCTTTCCAATGTTAAAGTACCCAATATCCATCTATTACAGACATTCATCTGATTTTTATAAAGATTTTGCTTAGAAACATCTCTACAAAGCTTGATTTCTCAGCTTACAATAAAAACTTCTTAACATTTTTATTTCTTTTTTTGTTGATCACGCTGGTGAAGGAATAATTTCATTGGATTCCCAAAATGCAGATATAGTATAATATAAATGTTCATGAAAAGATCCATATACACCTTTTGGCTGAGTTTTTAGCCACCGTTTGTTCTGGGTGGTATATCACTGGGTTACACTTCAGTTAAATAAAAAACAACAAAATGGACAGCAAAAATTAATTGTGCATTTTTTAAAACTACCCTTTCTTATAAATTATATGTTTGCATCTCATTAAATTAGTAAAGTATCAAAAAGATAGCCTCTTAAATTCCACCACTTTTTGGGAAATTCTCACCTATTCTGCATACCCAAATGGAAAAGCAAATAACTTAGGAACTTTAAGCCCAAATTACATGTGTGATGCATTATTGGAAAGCTAACATGTTCTAGTTTTTGAATATATACATGAAAATTGGGTGAGTAAAACACAGCCCAAACTGAATCAGTTTAAAGATGGCTCAAAGTTGTTTTTTTTTATTCTCAAAAATAAGAGGTAAAATCTTTTTTGAACAGCAGTAATAAAAGACATGCTTGCTTGTTGTGGCTGCTTTTGTCAGGAAGCGAGGACAGAAGGACCCAGTATTCAGGAGAGACAGTCAGTAGGAAAGTTCAAAAGGTTTATTAAAATAAAAACAAAACAAAAGCGGAGCTGTGGCTCGCGGTCACTGCAGGCGGGGGGGTGGGGCACCGCCCAATCTCAGACACTCTGGGGAGGAAACATAGGCAAGTGACCACGATAAACTGATATATGATTATCTAGGTTGGTCACTTACCTGGTTTAACAGTCCAGACCAAGAATGTCCCCAGTGCTGCAGTTCCAGAGGACATGCTGGAAGCTGATCCTGGTCAGGGATCCAGAACAGACAGGAACAGGCAGGATCCAGATCAGGCAGGAACAGACAGAAACAGGCAGGATCCAGACTTCCAGGCATCCACAGGCCCCCAGGAGGGTTTCAGAGTCTGACTGGGACCAGAAGCATGACCAGGTGGTCACGCACAGGAGCAGACAGGATCAGGTGCAGACAGGCAGGCTCAGTGGAAGAGGGTAGCCGAGACAGGACGTAGGAACCGGAACTTGATGCAGGACTTTAAACTGGTCTCCTCCCTGGAGCCAGGCTTACTGGATAAAAACTGAACCTCCCCACATATAGAGCCAAAAACCCAGAGGACTCCGCGGGGGAGGAACAGTGGACGATCAGGAGACGAGACAAACACTAAAACCCTCTTTCCACTGGCAGCTAGGATCCAGGACATGAACCAAATAAAACTGAACAGAAAGACTGACAGAAAGACAAGCAATGATCTCGCACTGAATGCTCAGGCTGAACTGAATATAAACCAGAGGAAACAGGTGAGGGGAATAAATTATAATGAGGCAGGGAGGGAAAACAACAGGTGAAAGGAATGACTAATTAAGGGAGAGCAAACAGGCCAGATCATGACAGCTTTGTAATGTTTGCTGCTACATCTGTATTAATTGTGCTTTGGTGCTCGCTGTGTCCATAAAATGATCTTGGTGGTTGAATTGTGGAGAATCTAAGCTTTCCAATGATGTCTAACATGTCTACATTGGTAAACATTTAACCGGGGAGTAATTTTCATGCATTCTGAGTTATTAGTTATAAACGCTTTAAAATGGTGGGTTTTGAGAGGTTAATTTACTTTATTAACTTAGTTCACATAGTGGGACACATGATGTTGATTATTTAGAATGATGTTTTAGCCTATATAGATCTTATTTCTGATTTCTTTCTGCTTACAGTCAATAATAACATGTCTTTGATACGACGGAGTATTAGGGCCACACATGAAGAGAAAAAATATTTTTGCCATGACGAGATTAAACTCGACATGTCGACTTTAAAGTCGCCATTTCGAGAATAAAGTTGAAATGATTGACATGTTCTCAAATTCAGAACTGCGAGCCTGGGTAAGCATAGGGAAAGATGTTACGTTATTATTGGTAGGCCACCGCTTCCTGTGATGATTATATAGTTGCAGCACGTCAAAGACTACCTTCACTCTTAAAACGCAGACTGCAGCTGTGGAGCGCGGTTGCTCTTTTCTCCAAACTTTGGAATGTCGAGATTAAAGTCGCCACGATATATCAACTTTATTCTCGAAATGGCGAGTTTAAAGTCGACAGGGCGAGTTTAAAGTTGACACGTCGAGATTAAACTCAACATGACATTTCAACTTTATTCTCGAAATGTTGAGTTTAATGTCGACGTGTCGACTTTAAAGTCGACATGTCGAGTTTAATCTCGTCATGGCAAAAATATTTTTTCTCTTCATGTGTGGCCCTAATACTCCGTCGTACTTTGAGGATTAGAACATTACATCAGAGCAAAAAAAAAAACCTTTTTTTTTATGCAGGGATCTAGATTTAAGTAAAAGTAGGTCTATCAAATGTTCTCTT